AGTGCATAGATACTAGAAATGGTCCGTTTCTAGTATCTATGGGGACAAAATAGTTATACTGTATGAGGATGTGGTCACAATGAACAAATTAAGAGGATGCCTTGCATTTAAAATAAGTTCAAAATAAAGGACAATTTTACAGTACATGTAATGCCTCTCTGTGTGTATTATAATAATGCATGTATAACCATGTACATGGATATACATGTAGTAGTTCGTAAGTTTATAATGATCCAGCTAGCATGTTTGGTGGTTGAGCTGGTGGTAGGATGTGACCTCCTTTAAGTGATAATACTCTTATTTCTTCTCTCAGTGCCTCAATCTCACGACTCTGAATGCTAACAATATCGACAAGCTTTGCTTTCTCTTCTGGCTCAAACAGACTCCCTCCAGAGATATCATCACCCTATAAAAATTATATTCATGTAATAGCAGAATTTGAATTGTCAGTATGTACATGTACATGTATATGTACAATACTGTACATGTACATAACACAATCTCAAGTTATTTTTTATACCATAGCTTTATATCTGATGTGCTTTATATCTGATTCAATTTTCTGTATATACTGTACATGTATGCTAAAAAATCTTGCATGTAAGTCATTTTTCATTATTTCTGACATGTATAGTGTACATTATATTGTTATAATTATGTCTCATACCCAGTTCTTTTGTGTTTGGTTGAGACTCTCTTCTAGGTGCCTGCTCTGATTTGAGAACTCGTTGAGTTCATCAAGTTTCTGTGTGTTCTGTTGGACCTCACTCAATAGCTCGTACTTGATATCATTGATTTTGGTCTATGAGGGAGAAAAAATATTAATGATTAATTTAAATTCAGGCACCATAATGCTAATGGTATATTTATTACATTTTCTGATACATATACACGCATGCATTTACATTGTATGTTGTGTAGAAACTTGAGCTGATTTTGGATTTTTATGAATTTTTAAAGTCACCCAAAATCGGGCTAAAGTCCCTGTACTATAGCCCATGGATTTTTTTTAATGGCTCCAAAATCACCCCAAATTCTTATTACATTTTCTGATACATATTGACGTCCTTATGCTGTGTAGAAAGTTTGAGCTGATTCCGACTTCAATTTTTCAAGTTACGGCTGATTTTTAAAAATGCCGAAATTCTGAAAAATACCCAAGGCTTATATTATAACCCATGGTTTTTTTCAAAAAATGGCTCCAAAATCACCCCAAATTTTTATTACAATTTTTGATACATATTGATGTCCTTATGCTGTGTAGAAAGTTTGAGCTGATTCCGACTTCAATTTTTAAAGTTATGGCTGATTTTTAAAAATGCCAAAATTCTGAAAAATACCCAAGGCTATAGCCCATGGTTTTTTTTCAAAAAATGGCTCCAAAATCACCCTAAATTTTTATTACAATTTTTGATACATATTGATGTCCTTATGCTACGTAGAAAGTTTGAGCTGATTCCGACTTCAATTTTTCAAGTTATAGCCATTTTTAAAAAATGCCAAAGTTCTGAAAAATACCCAAGGCATAAGGTACAGGGTTTTGGGCAAAATTTCACCAAAAATGACTAGAAAAGAAATCTTTATTTTAATAATAATTTTGATGCATATACTTTCCTTATGTTGTGTAGCAAGTTTGAGCTGATTTTGATAAAAACTGATTTGTCATGAATTTTAAAAGTTGCTCAAAAATTGGACCAAAGTCCCTGTACTGTAGTACAGGGTATTTTATCAAAAATGCCAGTATTTACACCATTAAGACAGTAAATAAACTCTTTTGAATAATAAAAAGGAATAAATGATACCTCTAGTTTGTGTTTAGCTCTCTCGTATTTCATTTCTGCTTCTTTTA